TGTATATTTAAAACGCTTCTTTTTAGTAATTATTCTTAGAGTACTATAATAACTATGGTTAGGGAAACACTCATCTAGTGTATAAAGTAAATTATTTTGGAGTATTGTGGTGAATTCTCTTCTAACACGAAAGATATACTAACACTAACTGTATATTTTCAAAAACTGATGAAATACACAATTTAAATAAATATAGACACTATCGAAACAAAGATGTAATTTAATACAAAGCAAACAGTATTTCGTCCAATAAGTAAATTCCATCCTTTGATCAAAATTAATAGCCGTACTTCACAAATCCTCCTTTTTTATTTTTTTTACCTTTAGTTTCGCAATAATATCGCCACAAAAGCGAACGCTAGACACGTAAAAACAAAACGTTTTCTATTCTTCGAAGACAAACATTGATTACGAATTGAATGTTTCTCCGTTGATAAAGCCTTCAGCAGCGTAAGAAAACCGAGAGATAAAATTTCCATTTCTATTGTTAATACGAAGGCGAGCGAACCGCAGGGCTTTGTATTTTGCATAGTAAATTGCGTTAATTGCTACAACGGCAGCTGAGAAAACAAGATGCATTAGTTAACCGCAGTTGCAGCTCTTCGGCAGACTGGAAAAACAGAACGTTAATTTTAGATTTCGGTTTGCTTCTTTTTATCGAACGAACTAATAATCATTTATATGGAGTTTTCTGTTGCGGTGAATTTATTTGAATGTTTATTTTTAATTGGTTGTCGGATCTTCTTTCAATGTTCGTTGTAGTTTCAGAGGTAAAAAATACAAATTAATTTTATTTAGAAAGTATATAGTTCTTCTCATGTAACTTTTTCGTCATGGCACAACAAGAGATATCAAAGCACCGAAAAATGTATATTTAAAACGCTTTTTTTAGTAATTATTCTTAGAGTACTATAATAACTATGGATAGGGAAACACTCATCTAGTGTTTAAAGTAAATTATTTTGGAGTATTGTGGTCAATTCTCTTCTAACACGAAAGATATACTAACACTAACTGTATATTTTTAAAAACTGATGAAATACACAATTTAAATAAATACAGACACTATCGAAACAAAGTTGTAATTTACTACAAAGAAAACAGTATTTCGTCCATTCAGTAAATTTCATCCTTTGATCAAAATTAATTGCCGTACTTCAAAAAGTCTCCTTTTTATTTATTTTTTACCTCTAGTTTCGCAATAATATCGCCACAAAAGCGAACGCTAGACACGTTAAAACAAAACGTTTTCTATTCTTCGAAGACAAACAATGATTACAAATAGAATGTTTCCCCGTTGATAAAGCCTTCAGCGGCGTAAGAAAACCGAGAGATAAAATTTCCATTTCTATTGTTAATACGAAGGCGAGCGAACCGCAGGGCTTTGTATTTTGCATAGTAAATTGCGTTAATTGCTACAACGGCAGCTGAGAAAACAAGATGCATTAGTTAACCGCAGTTGCAGCTCTTCGGCAGACTGGAAAAACAGAACGTTAATTTTAGATTTCGGTTTGCTTCTTTCTATCGAACGAACTAATAATCATTTATATGGAGTTTTCTGCTGCGGTGAATTTGTTTGAATGTTTATTTTTAATTGGTTATCGAATCTTCTTTCAATGTTCGTTGTAGCTTCAGAGGTGAAAAATGCAAGTTAATTTTATTTAGTAAGTATATAGTTCTTCTCGTGTAAGTTTTTTCGTCATGGCAAAACAAGAGGTATCAAAGCACCGAAAGATGTATATTTAAAAAGGTATTTTTAGTAATTAATCTTAGGGCACTATAATAACTATGGATAGCGAAACACTCATCTAGTGTTTAAAGTAAATTATTTTGGTGTATTGTGGTGAATGCTGTTCTAACACGAAAGATATACTGACACTACCTCTATATTTTTAAAAACTGATTAAATATACAATTTAAATAAATATAGACACTATCCAAACAAAATTGTAATATAAAACAAAGAAAACAGTATTTCGTCTATTCAGCAAATTCATCCTTTGATCAAAATTAATTGCCGTACGTCACAAATCCTCCTTTTTTATTTGTTTTACCTCTAGTTTCGCAATAATATCGCCACAAAAGCGAACGCTAGACACGTTAAAACAAAACGTTTTCTATTCTTCGAAGACAAACAATGATTACGAATAGAATGTTTCTCCGTTGATAAAGCCTTCAGCAGCGTAAGAAAACCGAGAGATAAAATTTCCATTTCTATTGTTAATACGAAGGCGAGCGAACCGCAGAGCTTTGTATTTTGCATAGTAAATTGCGTTAATTGCTACAACGGCAGCTGAGAAAACAAGATGCTTTAACCGCAGATGCAGCTCTTCGGCAGACTGGAAAAACAGAACGTTAATTTTAAATTTCGGTTTGCTTCAGAGGTAAAAAATGCAAATCAATTTTATTTAGTAAGTATATAGTTCTTCTCATGTAAATTTTTTTCGTCATGGCAAAACAAGAAGTATCAAAGCATCGAAAAATGTATATTTAAAACGGTTTTTTTAGTAATTAAGCTTAAAGCACTATAATGACTATAGATAGCAAAACACTCGCATCTAGTGTTTAAAGTCAATTTTTTTGGTGTATTGTTATGAATTCTCTTCTAACACGAAAGATATACTAACACTAACTGTATATTTTTAAAAAATGATGAAATACACAATTTAAATAAATATAGACACTATCGAAACAAAGTTGTAATTTAATACAAAGAAAACAGTATTTCGTCCATTCAGTAAATTTCATCCTTTGATCAAAATTAATTGCCGTACTTCAAAAATCCTCCTTTTTATTTATTTTTTACCTCTAGTTTCGCAATAATATCGCCACAAAAGCGAACGCTAGACACGTTAAAACAAAACGTTTTCTATTCTTCGAAGACAAACAATGATTACGAATAGAATGTTTCCCCGTTGATAAAGCCTTCAGCGGCGTAAGAAAACCGAGAGATAAAATTTCCATTTCTATTGTTAATACGAAGGCGAGCGAACCGCAGGGCTTTGTATTTTGCATAGTAAATTGCGTTATTTGCTACAACGGCAGCTGAGAAAACAAGATGCATTAGTTAACCGCAGATGCAGCTCTTCGGCAGACTGGAAAAACAGAACGTTAATTTTAGATTTCTGTTTGCGTCTTTCTATCGAACAGGCTAATAATTATTTATATGGAGTTTTCTGCTGCGGTGAATTTGTTTGAATGTTTATTTTTAATTGGTTATCGAATCTTCTTTCAATGTTCGTTGTAGCTTCAGAGGTAAAAAATGCAAGTTAATTTTATTTAGTAAGTATATAGTTCTTCTCATGTAACTTTTTTCGTCATGGCAAAACAAGAGGCATCAAAGCACCGAAAGATGTATATTTAAAAAGGTTTTTTTAGTAATTAATCTTAGGGCACTATAATAACTATGGATAGCGAAACACTCATGTAGTGTTTAAAGTAAATTATTTTGGAGTATTGTGGTGAATTCTCTTCTAACACGAAAGATATACTAACACTAACTGTATATTTTTAAAAACTGATGAAATACACAATTTAAATAAATATAGACACTATCGAAACAAAGTTGTAATTTAATACAAAGAAAACAGTATTTCGTCCAATAAGTAAATTCCATCCTTTGATCAAAATTAATCGCCGTACTTCATAAATCCTCCTTTTTTATTTTTTTTACCTCTAGTTTCGCAATAATATCGCCACAAAAGCGAACGCTAGACACGTTAAAACAAAACGTTTTCTATTCTTCGAAGACAAACAATGATTACGAATAGAATGTTTCCCCGTTGATAAAGCCTTCACCGGCGTAAGAAAACCGAGAGATAAAATTTCCATTTCTATTGTTAATACGAAGGCGAGCGAACCGCAGGGCTTTGTATTTTGCATAGTAAATTGCGTTAATTGCTACAACGGCAGCTGAGAAAACAAGATGCATTAGTTAACCGCAGATGCAGCTCTTCGGCAGACAAAACAGAACGTTAATTTTAAATTTCGGTTTGCTTCTTTCTATCGAACGAACTAATAATCATTTATATGGAGTTTTCTGATGCGGTGAATTTGTTTGAATGTTTATTTTTAATTGGTTATCGAATCTTCTTTCAATGTTCGTTGTAGTTTCAGAGGTAAAAAATGCAAATTAATTTCATTTAGTAAGTATATAGTTCTTTTATAGTAACTTTTTTCGTCATGGCAAAACAAAAGGCATCAAAGACATCGAAAAATGCATATACCCCTGTACTTACCACACATTAGTAATATTTAATCAGGTCTTAATAGTACGAGAGCTAGCAACGTCGGAAAAACAAGTATTTTAAGACGTCTGGTACTTTGATATATCTTTTACTATGCTCTCTAGAACAGCATGCGGCCCGTCTGGCTGCCGGTAAACGTTGCGTTCCCTACTGCGCATTGAAAGAAGATCCTATATTTTTATTAGTCCTTTAAATTCTAGTATTGAATATAAATCGAATATGTCTCCATAGCGCAGTGCGTAGAGTTTCCGACCACGAACTGATGATTCAGAGTTCGAATCCCGGGTCAGGGCAAAAGACTTTTTTATTTTATTTTCGTTTATATTCTGTTAAATTACAAGAATTATTTAATACTTTACTATCAGAATATAAACGAAAATAAAATAAAAAAGTATTTACGCTGACCCGGATTCGAACTTTGAATCATCGGTTCGTGGTCGGAAACTCTACGCACTGCGCTATGGAGACATGTTCGATTTATATTCAATACTAGAATTTATAGGACTAAATTAATAAAAAATATAGAATCTTCTTCCGATGCGCAGTAGTGAACGCAACGGGTATCGGCAGCCAGACGGGCCGCATGCTGTTCCAGAGAGCATAGTAAAAGATATATCAAAGAGGGAGACGTCTTAAAATACTTTCTCGAAAACGTTGCTAGCTCTTAGACTATAAAGAGTTAAGGTTTTAGAAAATAAAAACTAAACATCTTTTAATAAGAAATTATTATTGATAACAAATTTTAAACTCCTCGTAAACTGAATGAATTATTAACTTAATAACAATAAAGTACAAGAACAGGATTAACAAACGAAGCAAACCTTAGAAGGGTAATCTTGTAACAATATCGCAATATCTATTAATGGCGTTTGATAAATTATTCAGTGCATTATCGAGTTTTGCAATGTTCAGCAAGTTCCTTTCATTGAAATTGCCAGAACTAGTTTCGGTTGCTTGAATTCCCACCTCTCTCCTGGATGGAATTGGACTTGCATAGCCTGAAAAGGAATCTTCAATATAGAACATAATTCTATATGTAGCGTTTTGCCTTTTTGTCTTTCTTCAATATTGTCTTAAGTTAATATTTCAAATTTATTAAAACTAAAAAGCGAAATAATTTGGTTACAAATTGCCTAAAAATCATCAAAATTCCCCCACTAGAACAAAATATAACTTTATTTTTATATAACTTTTAAGTAGACTCGGAAGCAAAAAAAAACACAACGAAGAAATTTTTGGTCAAATTTAAAAAAAAAGGTTGTTTTTTTACCTTAATTTTAAAACACCCTGTGCAATAATTTCGAGTGTAAATTTTCCTAAAATATAATTTTACAATAAGAACCATGTTTCCTGAGCATTTTGGTTTTTGGGTCATGTCAATACATGCCTTGGTTAATTTTTAAGAGCGAAATGAGCTTGCCACCAACAATTTGCAACTTTTCAATTATCATTTCTTTTTGGAGTTATTTTCTAATGTGATAAGGCGGCTTTGGTGATTATTGTGAACTATATACTACTATGAACTACCCACCATGTTCGAAGTTTGGAAAATGCTTGGTAGGAGGATTAGAGGTCGCGAAGCGGTACCAGCTTCATTAAACGAACTTCGCTTGGTTCTTAAAGAAGAATGGGAAAGCATAACGCAATATGATATATGCAGCCTCAATGACAGTATGAACGGACGTATAGAGGCACTATACAGCAGTCAAGGGAGGCAATTCAAAGTATTAGGGTATTTTATACATTTTTTTGTTCTGTTTGTATACTTGAGTATTGTATTTTTTTTAATATCGTTAGTTCTATTATCGTTATTACATTACCATACAACTAAAGTTAAAAGAGAACTCAAGGTCCTGAAGGAAGCCTGCGCTGCAGACTCCAAATATTCGATATTAAAATTGGCGAAATCACAACGGCTCTAAAAGAAATTAAATTAGGAAAAGATTTGATGGCATCCACCCAGAGTTCCTCAAACACTGTGGACCCTATACGAAGCAATGGCTGACAAAATTTTTCACGAACATCTTTCGCACAGGACATGTTCCTCACTCACTTAAGCGTACAAAAATCATTGCAAAACTAAAACCAGGGAAAACAACTGATAGGCCAGAGAACTACCGTCCCATCATCGCCCTGCTAAGTATGGTTTATAAACTGCTCGAGAGAGTGCTACTCAACGGAATCAGTCAAATAATTTTAGACAGCATTGAACAGATTGAACAAGCAGATTGAACAGCAGATAGATTGAATAAGCAGGCTTTCGCCCGCATCGTAGCTGTACAGATCGAGTCTTATCACTGACAACATTTATAGAGGCGGATTTCAAAAGAAACATGTAGTCGCTGCCGCATTTATAGACCTGACAGCAGCATATGACACCGTCTGGAGACAGGGCCTAATATATAAACTGACTCGCGTCATTCCTTGTGTAAGAATATCCAACTTCATTGACAATATGCTGTCAAATAGAACATTCTAGGTTATAATGGGGAATAACAGGAGCAAAACTATGAAATTGAATGACGGTCTTCCTCAGGGGTCGGTTCTTGCCCCCATACTCTTCAGTCTATACATCGCGGACATGCCTGCAACTGAATCACGAAAATTTGGTTATGCAGACGACTGGACATTGGCAACGGCGCACAGGAGGGTGGAGGATGCTGAAGTTGTACTTACCAGAAACATAGCAACCATTAGCGAGTATTTTAAAAAATGGAGACTCCAACCAAGTATCGTAAAAACTGAAATATCTGCCTTTCATCTTAATAATAAGATGGCAAAGTGAGAATTGCGAGTGTACATGGACAACAAACTACTCACTCACAATAAACATCCAAAATATCTCGGAGTTACTCTGGACAGGACGCTTACATTTAAAGAACACTTGACAAGAGTGACGGCAAAGTTGAGAACACGTAACAATATACTTCAAAAATTATGTGGCACAACTTGGGGCTCATCAGCATCCACTCTGAAATCCTCTGCGTTCGGTTTGGTGTATCCTGTAGCAAAATACTGTGCTCCAGTGTGGCTCAATAGCAAACACACCCGTATGGTCGATACTCAATTAAACCAAACTAGGCGCACTATATCAGGGACAATTCGACCAACACCTACAATATGGCTGCCCACTCTTAGCAACATAGCTCCTCCCAATTTGCGCCGAGAACATGCCTTGGTCAGAGAGTTTAATAATAATGAATAACCCTCAGCTGCAGGTCCACGATGACGTACCATACATCCAGGGAAATCGACTACAATCAAGACACCCTCCATTGAAGACTGCACATGAGCTGCACCAAAATAATTTTGATATAAATGAGCGATGGAGAGAGAAATGGGAAAATGAGGCAGCTCCAATGTACCATGGTCTACCGTACGTTATTCATGAAACTGCAGGATTCAACCTTCCCCGTCGAACATGGACAACTCTTAACCGCATCAGAACTAACTGCGTAAGATGTGCCGACTCTCTAAATAGGTGAGGAAAAGTCCCTTCAGCCGCATGCGACTGTGGAGCTGACAGGCAGACTGTCAAACATATACTGCAGGACTGCCTAATAAGAGCATATATGGGCAACTCAGAGGATTTCCTTATGGCTACTCAGGAGGCAATTGATTATATACAACGACTGGATATCTATTTATGAGACGAATTAGCCTATTTTTTTTGTTGTGTATGTTTTTTTTTCTTTGTTTATACATTTTTTTTTTGTTGTTTATACCATTCTGTGTCCTATAACTTTAAATACTGTGATGTAAGCCATAGGCTAAATAAAAAAATAAATATTATCGTTCTTAATGTTTATTAAAACCATGACTGTATCGTTAGTCTTTAATGTTTTTTTTTTAATTTAATACAAAATATCCAAAGCAGCGTAATATGACGTTACGATAATACTCACCAAAACTATTTCGTCATATTAAATAATTACATCAAAAAGTAATGATAATTGAAAAAATTGCAAATTGATCGTGATCAGTTCGTTTCGCTCTTAAAAATCAACCAAAGCATGTACTGACATGAATCAAAAAATAAAATACTCAGGAGCCATGATTCTGACCGTGAAATTATATTTTAGGACAATTTCCATACGAAATTATTGCACAGGGTGTTTTAAAGTTTGGGTAAAAAAAAACCTTCGATTAACCCTGTATAATAAACTAAATATTAAAGTTTATAAAAAACTTAGTTTACGAATTAAACGAATAACTTTGAATTTGACAGTTCCCGCGGGCTTTTCTAGTGTTAATTTTATTAGGTTAGCAACTTGCGGCCATGCTGACGCAATGCCGTCTCTAATAGAACAGCCTCGGAGCGAGATTTATGACGTCACGCTAGTTAGATATTACGGATTAATAAATATATTGAAAAAAATAGTGTCGAATAAAATCCAAAAAATTACATATAAAATATTCACAACCTAACCTAACACCACATAATGTTTACTGCAATTAATAAACTAATATAAACTTGTCAAAAGATGACCACATATTTTTTAAAATTATTATTCTTAACACTAAAACTATCTACATTGACTATGGCTGAAATCGTACTCCATAGTCAATGTAGATAGTTTTAGTGTTAAGAATAATAATTTAAAAAAATATGTGGTCATCTTTTGACAAGTTTATATTAGTTTATTAATTGCAGTAAACATTATGTGGTGTGTGGTGTGAATATTTTATATGTAATTTTTTACATATAATACTATTTTTTTCATATGACACAACACTGATGAAGGCTATAATGTTAGCCGAAACGTTTTTTTTTAAACCAAATAAAAATAATGAAAAACCAGTTGAAAACTTAATCAGCGTTTTTTCCGAACCTAAATCCCAAGAAAATAAAAAATTTTAGAATAATTTTACATATAAAATGACAGCAATCTTTATTTCATAGCCATCGCTGACGCCTTTTTTTCTATGATATTGTATTATCTGCAAATATAATTTTTCGAACATTGATACTTGCAAAATATACATACAAATTTTGTGAATGCAAATAATAATACATCACTATTAGTAGATATTGAATGTTTTTTGTTAAATTAGATCGATTTTCAAACCCCAAAATTTAAAATATATTTTACATTTTACCCATTATCTTATGTACCTATTCATTATTTGTATATTGCAAAACATTTGCTGCATTTGTATGATTCATAGTTTATTTGCCAAAGTATGTATATTATGTGTATTTCATGTAAACTATATCATTTTTAAAATGCAAACCAAACATACGAGGAATAATTATGTTTTCCATGTATTCTACAACATATTTATTAATCCGTAGTATCTAACTAGCGTGACGTCATAAATCTCGCTCCGAGGCTGTTCTATTAGAGACTGCATTGGTCTGATATTTAAAAATGTCAAAAGCTGATGACATTTTACTTTTGACAATTATAACATTTCGTGTTGATTTTTGCAAAAAGAGGAAGAACTGTCACTTGTTTTATTATTTTCCTTTTCTATTTCACGAAAGTAAAAAGAGTTACCTATCTGATTCGTTCAGGCACTCAATTTAAAGAATATCAGTAAATTTTTTGACAGAGGGATTTTATATTTGCCATGTTGGTAAAAAATAACGGTCAAAATTCAAAGTTATTCATTTTATAGACTATATATACAATTTACTAAAAAAATCATGAAAATAGGGCTAAAAAAGCATCTGAGTGTATAATTTTCTGTGAAAACTAATCACAATCTATTTATAAAAAAATGCTGTTTTACCATGCGGTGAATTCATCGCCGTCGTAATAACAACTCTCTGCTGATCGAACTCCCTCGGAGACATCGGCACCGTCTGATCTGGAAAGAAGAAAGAGACGTTAGGCAACTTTTAAACAAAAACAAAGCCGACAGGCGCCTTCACGATCCCTTATTACTTTTTTCCGATTGCTGCTGGTGCGGTCGCTCCACAATAACAACTTTCCGGATTCTCCCCCTCTGGCACTTTTCGGTGGTGGTGGCAACGGCGACGTGATTCTGATTCTCTCTTTTGGCAATTTGCTTTTTATTTACGTCGCGCTTTTCCTCGCTAACGATTTTTTGCTCCGTCTTCAGATCAACCTTGTCGCTACCACTGTCAATTACTTCGCCTTCTATTACGCTCGTGCCTGTTGTATCGCTCCACCCATCGGGAGTCTCTTGCTTTATGGTTATGTTGGTGTTTGAAACGTTTCTATCGTTCTCTCTATCTGCCGACTTCTGGTTTTCCTGGACAGAGTTCTAGACAAAAGAAAAATAAATCATAAACTAATAACAAAACTAATTTTTTTAAAAGAAATGTTGACTCCCAAAATGGAATCAGTACTGTAAAAGTAAACCTGAAGTATGTTCTAGGATGTATTTCAGGAAAATAATTTAACTTCTGTAGTGTGGCTCAAAGAAGTGTGAGAGGATCTGGATAATTTATTTTTTAATGGAACACCCAACCCAACAATCGGTATATTATAGCATTTTTGGCTTCCTTACAGATCACTTTATATAATCATAAGATGTGAATAAATATATTTCGATAGTTTCAGAGATATTAGGTAATAAATAAAAAAATATATATTATATATTTTTCACCCTTTCTTTAAAAAATTATTAAAAATACAAGAACTCTCCTGAAATCAAAACTATATAGGGTTTTTAAGAAAGGTAAGTAAGGACTTTAGATAGTCTTTACTTACTTTGCTATAAATATGATAAAACATAAATCATACAGGATGTTCCAAATTCTTTCTAAATATAAAATAATTTTTGTTCGTTTTTTTTAATGGAACACAATATAAGAAATGAACATTTTTTTTTATATTTAGAGTATTTCAAAAATTTTAACGGTTTCGCAGATATTCGGGGTTTTATATTTCATATGGCGTTTTCCACAGTAAATTTATTTTTATCAAAGCCATCCAGTTATTTTTCTCACGTATTTTACCGTTGAAAGAGTCATATGAAAAAATACTGCGTGTATCTGGGAAACCATTAAAAATCTTGAAATACTTTAACTACAGAAATGTTAATTTTTTAATTCTCCATCTAACAGAATAATATACAGTGTGTTCCATTAAAAAAACAAAGAAAAAATATTTTATATTTTAGTGAATTAGTAGAATTTTGAACACCTTGTATGATTTAAGATTACGATATTTATAGCAAAGTTAAGTATAGATCATCTAAAGTAAAGACCTAATATAGTTTTGATTTCAGAACAGTTCTTGTATTTGTAATAATTTTTTTAAAGAAAGTTGAAAAAGACATATTATATTTATTTATTTATCTTATTAAAAGGTATCGAAATATAATTACTTATATTTTAGGATTATGTAAAGTGATATGAAAGGAAGCCAAAAATGCAATAATATACAGGGCGTTCCATTTAAAGAAAATCATCCCGATGCACTCACACTTTTTTAAGCCATCATATAAAAGTTAAAATATTTTCCTGAACACACTCGTACATACTTAAGGTTTACACCTGAACAAAATTCCCAAGTTTTTTTTATTTTATGATCTTTCTTTTATTTTATGATATTTGATGATGGGCATCTATAGCCCGACGCACTATTGCCGGACCATGTATAGAAGCAGTATTAAAAAAGCAACTGGAATACTAAATGGCTTACCTACTCACTATGAATACTGTTTTCTAATATTGAAGCTAAAATTCACCCTTTCTGAATTGAATGATGAATAAAATAATTTAAAAAGAATAATAATAAAAAATAAACCAATTTTTTCGTGTCCTTTATATGATGATAGGTGAACAATTCTTATTCTTCTTCTTAGGTAGCCATCTCTCCAACACAACCCAACCCTTCGAAGGTTGGTGATCCAACTGACTATGATAGTGCGTGAAACTGCACCTCTGTAAATTTCAATAGATGTTCTTCCGAACCAACGACACAGATGCTTAAACCAGGAGTTTTGCCTTCTTCCCACTGTTCTCCTGCCTTCAATTTCACCTTCAATGATCAGTCTGAGTACCTCGTATCATTTACCCCTCATGGTGTGACCGACGTACTGTAGCTTCTTTTCCTTAACTGTTGATAGGAGCTCTTTATCTTTGCCCGTCCGCCTGAGCACCTCCTCACGCAAAATAGGACGATAGATACAAGTAGTTTTCCAATGTCTGATTGAGTGTCCAACTCTCAAAGTGGTAAAGAAATACTGGAAAAATGCAGTACAACGCAGCATGCATATGCGCAGTTCGAGGCTTAGATCTCGGCTGGAGAAGACAGTTTTATATAGAAGCAAACGTACGTCTAGCCTGTTCGATCTTCGCCAAAATCTCAGTCTTGGGGGGTCGCAAGCATCTTTAACGAGGGCTCCTAGATATTTTATGCACAATACTTGTTCTACCACCGTGTTTAGTCCCTTAGTTTTAGTCCCGCTGCGCTGTTTTGGAAAATACATCTTGTTTAGTTTTGTTGTTGACATTGATGTACAGTACGTCTGCTAGATCTGTGTCTATGAGAGGAATGCGGACAAAAAATATTTAAATAAACAGCAATATATTTTATACGTCGACTTGACAAGTACGTCACCGCAAATCGCTCCGCCCACTCATTTTATTGGCTACTTGCAAATTTGTCGAATTTTTATTGATGGGACGCGTCGTCTAATTTTTTACGAAAAACATCGAGAGAATATCGTTTCCCCTCTCACGGATACCCCGTAGCTACAGAACGGACAGACGTACTGTACAATCCGTACTGCATGCTATGTTCAACGCTGTAGTCAATCATGTTCTGAAAGTGTAGAATGTTGTCAGCTAATACGTACCATTCAACTCTTGGAATTGGAATTCATATTATTTTATAATTTAATATACACTATGTCCCCGCATTATCTTTACAAGAGGAAAAACTGTTTTATAATTGACATTTTCAGAAAAAGACATACTTCATAAAAAGTTTTGCTCATTGCATTTATACTTTTCCAAATTTCCATACCGTTTTTAGAGAAAATTAAAAAAACTATTGTATTATTGATTTGTCAGTCTTTACGGAGCTTATTTTATGTTATTTATTATTTATTCTACTACTGATAGTTGTATAAAGGTAGTAAATCTAGATGGAAATTGTGGCAGAACTTAAATTAACAGTGACACTATCACGATTTATCGAAAAAGACTCTAAAATAGTTGGTTGTGTAGCGTGAGGTAGACATCGGCAAAAATTGAGTGAAATAATGGAACAACTTTTCGCTAGTAAGTGACTATATAATATACATACGTGTAGTAAACCGATCATTTATGAAATTCACTTAAATTAACTAAATTATATATTTTTCTTGCATTTTAGTTTTTATTTATTACTTGTCAAAGATTAGATGTCAAAGAATTTAGATACGTTAATTTGACTTACCTGCTTCAGTAGCGTATCGGATGTTTGTGTTAATAAATACTTATTATAACTTATCTATTTTTATTAGAATTATATATTTTTATAACAATTTTAATAACTACCAACATTTATTCACAACGTAAAATAAAACAACAAATTATTGAGTCTACCCCACGTCTACCCTACATCATAGTTTTACATTTTTTAAATAAAATTAGAAGGACACTGATAAACCGGAATTTAAGTCGGCCATATTTGAGGCCCATCGCGGTGTACCTAAGATATTTGATATGCTCCTTCCTTAGTCTTCTTATTCAAAGATTATTACCCTTTCCGTAGTACTGCATCTATATAATTTTTGTGCTTCTGTCACATTTTATACCGTCAAAGAATTGACGTTAACTAAAATTCTATCAATAAAAAATTATCAAATAATAAAAACGGAATTATATTACTACAGAAACTCGTTTTGATTTTTAGGACTTCAACCATAGTATAGAAAAATTCAACCATATTTTTACGTTTTTTTAATTTTCTCGAAAACGGTCTGGAAATTTGGAAAAGTATAAACGTGATTAACCATTTTAGAATAACCAAGCATTTTTGTCAAAATGTCAGTAATAAAAAAATCCTCTTGTAAAGACAATCCAGGGAGATACTGTATTATAATTTAAAAAGCCGACTGTATGTTACCAAATAAATAATTTTTAAATGATATGCACCGGAAAACGACACGAAAGCAACTAGCAAACGATGACACGAAACTCACAAAGTATATCAAAATGTAATGCACTGTTTTTTACAAGAAGCATATATTCTATTGTAGCTAGCACATATTTCCATATACATTTCTATTATATATGATCCGGAGTATTTTACGTTAAAGTGCACTCTGCAGACATCCCGTAAATCTTAACAAGCACAGCAAAAATGGCACATATGTAAACTTATACGTGTCGTTATTGAAATTTAAAGCTGCGCAGTGTGTGTAAGGCAATGTGTATAGGACTGATACTGAAAAACAATAGCCATATATTATAATATGTTATCAAATTTATTCACAATGCTGTTTAAAAAAAACTTAAATCTTTACCATAATTTTATAAGTTACTATAGTCTATAAAATGAATAACTTTGAATTTTGACCGTTATTTTTTAGCAACATGGCAAATATAAAATCCCTCTGTCAAAAAAGTTACTGATATTCTTTAAATTGAGTGCCTGAACGTGAAATAGAAAAGGAAAATAATAAAACAAGTGACAGTTCTTCCTCTTCTTGCAAAAATCAACACGAAATGTCATAATTGACAAAAGTAAAATGTTATCAGCTTTTGACATTTCTAAATATTAGACCAATGCCGTCTCTAATACAACAGCCACGGAGCGAGATTTATGACGTCACGCTAGTTAGATACTACGGATTAATAAATATGTTGTAGAATACATGGAAAACATAATTATTCCTCGTATTTTTGGTTTGTATTTTAAAAATGATATAGTTTACATGAAATATACGTTATATACAGTTAATAAATACAATATAATATATACCTATTTATAGTAATAAATACTTTGGTAAATAAACTATGAACCATACAAATGCAGCAAATATTTTACAATATACAAATAATGAATAGGTGGTACATAAGATAATGGGTAAAATGTAAAATATATTTTAAATTTTGGGGTTTGAAAATCGATCTAATTTAACAAGAAACATTCAATATCTACTAATAGTGATGTGTAATATGATGGTAGACTTTGATGGTATTATTATTTGCATTCACAAAATTTATTTATATATTATAATGTTTACTGCAACTAATAAACTAATATAAACTTGTCAAAAGATGACCACATATTTTTTTAAATTATTATTCTTAACACAAAAAC